CCTGCCTTTCCTGCCGCAGGTGAGTGGCTGCGCCGGCCCGGGGAGCTCCTTGGGCCGCACGCCGCGGGGGGAGCCCTGCTGGGATGGGGGCAGCAACCGGGCAGAGAGCGATCGCGGGCAAAGCCGGGCGCCGGCCTGACGCTGGTCCCGGGGCCCCGGCGGGGCCGATGGTGCTGGTGGCCTCGCTTGGCCGGACGGTGTTTCTCGGGCTGAGAGTCGCCTTTCGCGGCTGGTGCCGGGGCAGAGCAGGGCCCGGGCTGCCCGGCGGCAGCAGGAGGGGGCCGCTGCCCTCAGAGCGGGGGTCCGCAGGGCGTTAATGACCGAGCTGTGGCCCGCTGCTGCTGGGGGAAGGAGGACGGCATCGTTCGTACCCCGGGCTGCGCCTCACCCCTGTGGCCTGTGTCCTCCGCCGTGCAGCAGTATTTGTATAGATGTATATTGGGGTTTGTTCGTGTTTTTTTTTTTTTCTTCTTTCCATGGTTAACAGCATATTCCTCATAGTTCTTAAAACATCGAGGCCCCGTGGGACCAGCAGCTGGGGTTGGGGCTGGGATACTCGCAGCAGGGACGGCTCCTGGCTTTGGGTTCATCCCGACTGCCAGACTCGCTCCGAGAAAGCAGCCAGCAGAAAAGAAAGGGGATTTCTGCCGAACCTGACCCCGTAGCCTGTCTTGGGTCTTGCGTTCTCATTGCTTACAATACTGATAAGTTTTGTGGGATAAATTTTTAAGGGTGTGACAAACTAGGCATGTAATCCTGATCCAGGAGACAGTGGCTTTTTAGTTATTGTATTGCATGGTACACAGCTTTTGTATTTCAAGTTCAGGTGTTTTGTGTTCTGAAAACATTGAATTGTCATTTAAAGTTCTTAACTGTTTATTAGGTAATTTGGAGGGTAGTGTGTCTTCTTGAGTATTATTGGTGTAACATTTTAACACGACAGTAATTTTTCCCTCTTCCATACCTGTCTCCTTACTGATTCCTTGCCAGTGATCTTTAGTTACAGAATGCTCTGGCTGGCAGTTAACTTCTTTTTTATCTCTGCATCATCCCTTTTTTTTCTTTTCCTCCATCATCTTTTCCTGCATCATCCCTTCTTTATTCCTCACATGCCCCGTGCATTTTGGCATCTCTGTTAATGTTTCAAGTGGACTGGTAGTACCAGCATAGGCCCCACAAATTAATAAGATATAAGAAAGGGTCTAGGACTGGCAGGGAGTCAGTTTGATCCATCAGTCTGGAAAAGGTGAGCACATCACAGTGTGGAAGGACAGCAGGCGAGATGGTCCACTGGTGGATGCTGGGGGATCTTGGCTTTAGCTCCATGCATTGCAGCATACTTCCTTTCTGTAAGCAGATCATTTAGTATGTTTGTGCAGTGGAATAGCGTTAACGTGCTTGAGCAAGCTTTGAACAGGCTGGCCAGAGTGCTGAAACAGTCCTGCTGCAGCAGCAAAAAGCAAATTTACTGTATGCTGCTAATATGTTTCTGTTAGCCAAGCTGGCTCATTTAAAATTTGTTTGAATACCTTGTATTTTGCAATACTTCTACATCTCTTGTACTTGCACTTGTTGGTGTGGTTTTAGGCAGTACATCATCCTCTGCTTGAGGCAGAGAGGAGTGCTCTGATGCACCTGTACTCTCGTGATACACCAGTGACTGATGGATGGGGTTATTCTGGGGGACAAAGCTGACAACTCTCGTAATGAGCTGTTGTGTGTGTTTGCTGTGCACCAGCTGTACTCATCATCAATGGCTTACTCTCGTCTTAGTGTTGGGCATGTTTGGAATATATCTTTGTCTCCTTCCTTGAGATAGGATATTAGGATTTTTTTTTTTTCCCGGGGCAGGGGGAGGTAGTGTCCACATTTGCTTCTAAACTCTTGATTTATATAGGAAGAAGGAACAGCTTGGCTGCTGAAGTGTGGCTCTCAAATCTGGGCCCTCATCTGGGAGCACCTGAAGAGGGGTGTGATCTTAGAGATTCAAGTACAATCTGCACTTAGATCTCGCTTTGGAATCTGAGTCCTCGCTTTTCATGTGACTTCCCTCTCATTCTAACCATTCCTTCGTGGCATTGCTACCTCTCAGTTGTCCTGTAACAGTAGCAGATAGACATGAGCCTTTGGCTAATGAAGAATATCGTAACGTGATCTGCAGTGAGCATGTTGAATCTAGCTGGCCTTCACTACACTAGCTTTCAGGAGAATATTGAATTGAGGTGATGGTTTCTGTATTTAAAATCAGAGCACTCTATGATGTAGGTCCGAAGAGTCGAAAAGACTATCTGAAATTCTGGATTAAGATGGTGGTTGACAATTTAGTCTCATGGAATTGTTTCATTGTGAATATGAAACTCCCTCCGCTGTACAGTGCTTGTTGAAGGAGTGTTTTCTTTGTGTGCAACTTTGCTGTCTGCTATCGATGGTCTCTTAAGTTGATCAGTGCAGTTCATGGGAAAGAACACACCGCAGCTCTTGAACTCCGCTGCGTGTCTTGCATGATACGTGCTGTAGGAGTAGGCATAGCTTGTTCATTCCTTCTTCAAGGAACACAGCTCCTAGTGTCTGTTAAACCAATCTGTCTGAGACAGAATCACAGAACGCTTTGGGATGGAAGGGACCCTTAAAGCCCATCCAGTCCACCCCCCTGCCATGGGCAGGGACATCTTCAACCAGATCAGGTTGCTCAGAGCCCCGTCCAGCCTGGCCTTGAGCGTTTCCAAGGATGGGGCATCTACCACCTGGGCAACCCCTTCCAGTGTTTCACCAGTGATGAAAGTGGAAACAGTGTATGGGGCATCCAGGTGAGTTTGGGGACGGAGGCAGGGAGGAACAAACAAGAATGAGCCACTAGGTTGGCTCAGTCACTCATGCTGCAGTTTCTTCAAATACAGGTGAGCTGAATTGCTCCTCTCCACCTTCTTCCATCATTTAACTTGCAAGCCCCAGTGCTTGTCTCTGAGCTGCATTAATTCACCAACATGACAAAAAAAAAACTTAACTCAGCAAAAAATTGGGGAGTGTTCTGCTCTTTTAATGCATTAAATAAACCAGGGAAGGGTCTGATGAGGTTCAGAGCAAACAAGCCTGCTCTTCGAATGCCACAAACAATTAGATTGGCTCAGTTGCCTGTTGTGTCCTCAGACTTTACGCTTGTGCTGCGTGAAGACCTTTTCCTTGTTTTGTAGCTGTATATAAAACACTTTGCTTTGTGTTAATTATACAACAATCTTCATAAAGCTGTGCTTCTAGCAGATTTCCAGCTTCGCAGAGGTCTTGCTTGTGACATGGCACTGTTGTTGAATATGGATGCCTGATCAGTAACAATGTTTAAATACAAATATTCTCTCCTTGTGGAAAATAGATAATTCCCTGCTTAACTGGGAGAAGTTACTTCTGCTGTTTGAGGCTAGGAAGCCTGTTCCTATTGAAGCTTGTTGTAGTGTTTTCTAAATGGTGTGTACTATAAGAAGTAAGTATCGTAAAACACCTTATTGTCACAACAGCTGTTGTTTTTCTGTCAGTGTTTGCAAAAGGCTGGGCTTGATATCCAAACGCTTGGAAAAGAGCCCTTGGGGGCGGTGGGAACGTTGTATAGGATCTGCACAGGAGATTACGTTTTCTCATGGGTTAATCTAGGATACGGAGTGATCTCTAGGAACTAAGAACCATCATAAATGTTGCCACCATCCCAGCGCATCAGCTGCCCTGCTTTGAACTTAGTTTTGTTGTCTGATACCTAGTGACATAAATAAAAACAAAACGGGAAGCATCAAAGCCCTGTGGTACTGAAACAAGAAACTCTGATGCCTGTGGCTCTGTTTAGGTGGGAGGATAAGAACGAACTTGTAGTGGCTGTTAACAGACTTCAGAACTGTGCTTTGACGCTAAGGGATAATTGCTTTGTAAAAACGTCCGTTAATCCACATCCTCCATGGACTTTCTAAAACTCTGTACACCCTCTTTTGCTGTTACCACTGCTCATATTCCCTTTAATTCCTCTCATCCTTGATTTTTACTTGGCTTTTGGCACACAAAAACACAGAGCTTCGAAAATGTTTTGAGCACTTCACGTTAGGAACCTTTTATTCCCTTAATATTTCTTTAAAGAACATCCATTAAGTTGCTCAGAAAGCATAATTGTGTGGTAGTGTCTTCAGTGTGCCATTTGGGGATTTATTACTGAGTTCCAGTAATGGTTATCTAGATGGAGATGTAGCAACACACCCTGTACTTATTCTCTTGTTTTAAAGAGTGTAGCTTATATCTTGTAAATGTAAAACTTTCAGTTGTACAGGTTGATTGTTTCTCAAATGCATAAAGCTGTTCAGTTACAGGTAGCTAGCTCCTGCAAAACTGCCTGAAGCTTTTGGAGGCAGTTGTACATGTAATATTCAAAACTGAGCTACTCTGTGGTTTGGGGTTTTTTAAGCCCAGTCAGATCCTGTAACAATAAGCAGGAAACACTTTCGTTCTGGTCTTTTGTCTGTATTTGGGTCTCTGTGGCTTGTTACTCTTGAAAGTAGCATTCAAGATGATGATGATGATGATAATGGATTCTTTTTCAATACTACTTCCTTTTGTTGAAAGGGTGTTATGGTTGGATAGCTCAGATGTGATTTTAAAAGTCCATCATGGCAAATAGTTGGAGTTTTTTGCTAAACACATTTTTTCCTCACTGCGTATGCACAACAGTGTCTCCTTTCCTCCACAAATAGCTGTGTCTTGTAAGCTTGCACTTGGCTCAAGTGGCTTTAGTCTGCACTGAAATAAACGGTGTAACCTGCCATGCCCAGCACACTTCAGGACAAATGTAATAGATTTTAGAGCACTTAATGAACGCTAATGTTATAAAAAAGGGAAAAGTTGCTGCATGAGTTACCGAAGACCAATTATATACAAAAGAGCTAAATATGAAAATCTCTACCTCCTGTGTATTTTTAGGATGATGTTTCTTTACTGCTTTGCTGACAACTTGCAGTGGAATGGCATCATGTATCCTCCAGGCAGCGTGGAGATCCTTTATGTTTAAAAGCATCTTTTTACCCTGGGTGTCTCCTGGGCGTGCAGGGTAACTTCTGCGTGGTGGGCTTTGAAGTAAAGAGGGAGAAGTGAGAGTGATGGATTCTGTTAATGCATTTTTGAACAAAGGCGTTAAGACGCAACATTGCTGCTGCCTCCAGTCATCTTTAGCATCTTGTTTCTCAGCTGCTACCTGGAGAAAAAAATGTGTAAGATGTATTTGTAAGAGTGGGACTGTGTAATTATCAAATCATTAGTCTGTTTAGCTTATGAATGTTAAACTAGATGTTGACAGATTAGTCTGTCACAACTTTCTGTCTAATTCAGTAGCAGCGATGGTTAGGGATATTACGTTGTGTTTCTCTCCAGAGCAAGGTTTCATCAGTTCTGGTAGGCACAAAGTGATTTGCTTGGGGAAAACTAAATCTGAGCAATAGAGCAATTAAACCAGTCTTCAGTCAATGCCTTCAGTTTTGTTGAAGAGTGCTGGACAGGAGGAAGAGACAAGGAAGAATGGGAAGGGAGGAGTTGGATCTGTGGCTAGAGGACAGTTGGACATGACGGGGGGTGGTAGAATGACAAGATAGGGGTTTTTTTCCCTTTGTTTTGGGGGTTTTTTTGGAGGTGGTTTGGTTTTGGTTTTTTTTTTTTTTTCCCTGAACCTGCTGCTGGTGGTGAACTGACGGCCTCTGCTCATCCTGGGTCCTGGGTTCACTGATGAATGGGCAGATATAATTTGCATTTGCTCTCAGCATCATCTTTTTATAGTCTGTTATCAGACAGCACTACTTAAACATTGAAGTTGCTCTGTAAGAGGTCTGTGAGGCTCTGAAGCAGTAATTGAAGATCAGCAAGACACTCATTCTTCAAAAAGAAGTATTGATCTGGATTTGTATAATTGAATTTAAAAAGGAAGAGGGGGGAAAAAAAAAAACAAAACCAACCCTCAAAAGTTAGTTTTTGCCCTACTTTCTGAGCATTTCTTTCTTAATGTGGTGGTGTTCAAACCTTACGAGATGGGTCGCAGAATGCACGTGAGCAGGCTTGGTACCAAGGAGCTGATGTTCAGTGTTTTGCACAAAGGAAAGCGTTCTTAAACTTTACACTTTTACAGTTAGTGGAGATGGTGCCCGACACTACGCCCAAGGCAGTGCCTGCAACCCCGTTGTTGCTGCCCTGAAGAGCGTAGAAGTGTCCCATAGAGCTTAATGGTGACTTGGATGATGTTAAAATTAAATTCTGCATGCCTTCTGGTTCCAGCAAGGAAAAGACCCTATTGTCAGAGCACGAAGCAACGTGAGGTACCCATTTGTCACTCAGAAACAGGAGGAAAAAGGATGGAGGATATGTATCAGAGCCATTAGACTGCAAGAACAGTAACAGTAGACACCGTGATAGACTTTGTGTTTCTTCAACAGTTTCTGAGGGCAGGGAGAATTTACAGTTCTTTTCATTCAGTTAATATGAGAAGGAAGTCACCACTAATTAAAGTTAAATAAAACCACCACTAGTGGTAGGGAAGTTGCACATACTTCCACGGTTGCTTGGTTTGTCTCCCTGATTTCTGGTTGCCTGGGTAAATACCTGCTAGGACTTGGTGTACAAGCAGACAACTGCATCAACTCCACAAAAATATTTACTTTTGCAGGTTCTATATATGGTCTTGTAGGCATTTTTTGTCTGGTTATTTGGGTGGAAGATGAGGAATATATCTGCTACTCACAAAATTGTGTCACTATATGCAGGGGAGGAGATGTTTAAAAGAACAGAGCTCGTCATGAAGAGTAAGAAGATTGGTGAATAACTCTGTAATAAGGAAGTGTTTGCCAGTACCTGCTGTAGCAGGGGAAAAAAAACAATTAAATTTAAGTAATTCTTGGGATGACCAGCCACCCTATGTAGCCCCTAGGTCTTTCAATTTTGCTGGAAAATGGCCTGATACAATCTGACATAATCAAAATAATGAGGAAATTACTATGTTCGCTATGTATTATTTTGCAGGGATGGGAAGTTGAAAATATTTGTGTTAAAAATATTTGTGTTTTTCAGCCTGGAGAGGAGGAGGCTGTGGGGAGACCTGATTGAAGCCTTTCAGTACTTAAAGGGGGCTTATAGGAAAGATGGGGACAGACTTTTTAGCAAGGCCTGCTGCGACAGGACAAGGGGTGATGGTTTTAAACTAAAGGAGGGTATTTTTAGACTGAACACAAGGAAGAAATTTTTCATGATGAGGGTGGTGAAACACTGGAAGGGGTTGCCCGGAGAGGTGGGAGATGCCCCATCCTTGGACACATTCAAGGCCAGGCTGGACGGGGCTCTGAGCAACCTGATCTGGTTGAAGATGTCCCTGCCTGTGGCAGGGGGATGGACTGGATGGGCTTTAAAGGTCTCTTCCATCCCAAAGCACGCTGTGATTCTAAGAGGAGCATTTCTTGCGGTTAGATGTGGTTAGAACGCTTAGCTGAATAAACAGACTACACACAGTGTATCACAATTGAGAAGATGCCTTAAACTGGCGTATTTGCTGCATGTTACTATGTTTACTTTTCTGTGCAGCCCTTGTTCTCTTTCTCCAAATTCCTACAGGATCTGGGTTCTGTTACTTCGGTTTCCTGGAGTTCTTCAGGAGAATTGTGACATTTCCATGATTAAGCCAACTAGGGTTATTCTTGCTACCATGGGCTGCTCCCCATGTGGAGGCAGCTGCAGTAAAGGCTGATGTAGCTCCAACCTGAAGCCAGGCTGTCTATCAACTGGAATTAACTTATACCACAAGCATGCCTTGATTAGGTGAAGACTCAGGCTTCATGTGGAGTTTTGTGGGTTTTTTTTGTTTTGGTTTGGGTTTTTCTTGTACCTTTTGAAGCTCTGAGCAATTAGTAATAGTTTTAAGAGAGCTACAAGCGAAGAATGGTAGGCCACGCTGTTTGAAACGCAGTTTGTGGCTACCTGTGCAGGAGGCGCACGCACAGCTTTGAGCGTAGTGTTCCTCGTTCTTCAGCTCGGGACTGCAGCCTGGGCTGTACTTGGGGTGTAGGGTTCAGGTGGTCCTTCCACTGCAACTCCGCTCTGTTCCAGAGGCTGAACATCAAGTTAAGGGTGGCCAAAGCTCATGATTCATTATTCAAGTTAAGGGATTTTACCCAGAAACAACCGGCATGAAGCTGCTGTGTTCTGCCCCTATGACCTTGTTGTAGGTTAAGCCTGGTAGGCAGCTAAGCACTACGCAGCTGCTGGCTCACCTCCCCTCCCACCCCAGTGAGACAGGGAAGGAGAAAGGAAGAGTAAAAGCCAGAAAACTTGTGGGTTGGGATAAAAATTGTTTAATAAGCAAAGGAGATGTAGAAGAAGAAAGAAAGCAAGAAAACAAAACAAGTGATGCAAAGGCAATAATCGCCTCCCACAGGTAGACCAATGCCCAGCCAGTTTGTGAACAAAAGACGGCTAACCTCCTTAAAAAAACCCCTCTTTTCACTCTTCATTGCTGAGCATGACGTTATATGGCATGGAATATCTCTTTGTTCAGTCATCTGCCTGGTGGTGTCCCCTCCCAACCTCTTGTGCACCCCCCAACCTATTCACTGGGGGGACAGAGTGAGAAACAGAGCAGGCCTTGACACCCTGCAAACACTGTTCAGCAACAGCTAAAACATTAGTTTATCAGCATTGTTTTGGTCACAAATCTAAAATACAGCACCACATCAGCTGCTGTGAAGAAAATCAACTCCACCCAGCCAGACCCCGTACAGGCCTGTAATTCTAACACTTAGATGTGTAATCTTCATTACTTGTTGCAAATACTGTTGGAGTTTGACAGCAGTGACTGCCGGTCACTGGAGCAGTGACGAGTATACGCAGTATGTAGTCTTGAGAATCTACATGTGCTACCTAAGACATAAAAGAGAGCCGATGATGCGGTGGGGCTTCTCAGACCTACAGCAAAGGTGCCCAGGGCTGAGTTTTGGAGCAATGTGCATCTGGAATTGATCGTTACTTCAGGCTGTACTTTCAGGATTTGGTCGGGTCCAGGCCTCTTATTCCAGGTCTCTCATCTGTTCTGCATTAGTCCAGCTTCTTTCTGTTGCTCTGGTTATATGCATATATGCACCATTCTGGCTGTGTTGTTTGGGGTTTGGATTTTTTTTTTAAACACATCCAGTAACATTCAGTAAGGTTTCATTTGATTCTTTGACTGGTTGCTGTGTAGGAGGGAATCTGCCTAATGTATCTGAGTCTTTGTTTGAAGTAAGCCAGAAACAATAACAAATTACACTGTACTCCCTGCACAGGTGCTGAAACTTTGTAGAATCTTTTGTTTTTCCTTAACATACAAAGCAGGCTAGTCAACAGCAACTTACGCCCATCATTCTGCTATTTCATGCACCCCAAAATTCTTGTAGTGAAATTTTTGCTGCCTTTTCAGGTGTACTGCGAGTATGGGATGGTACATGTCCTTTCAGAGAAGGGGAGCAGCAAAGGAAAAGACTACTGTATCCTCTTCAACTCTCAGTGGGCCCATTTGCCACACGATCTGGGAAAAGCTGTAAGTACCTAGCCAAGCAATGACAGAAGAATGTATTAAAAAATGCCTTTGTTACAGGGAAGCTTGTTATTTCTAACTTGGATTAGTAGAATTTGAGGCAACTACTTTATTTGCTCTACTTAGAAAATATTTTTATCTGTGAAGATCACCCTAGGCAGTGCTACGATGGCAATATTCTTCTCCAAGCAGCATGCAGAGGTAATGACTATTTCTGGTTCAAAACAAAAATCTTCCTTTTGCCCAACATGATGAATTAAATGAAAATGGCACTTACTTGTAGTTGGAAAGGAGTTCTTATATGTCAGTACGATACAAAAAGATACAACGTGGCCGTGCCAATATACTGACCTGTGACCTTTAGTGCTATCTCAGTGGTCCATAGTTCTGTCAAGTGTAAGAATAAGTAGTCACAAACTGTGTCAAGCTTTTGCCGCATTATCCAAAGGCATCTGAGCTGGCAGTTGAGTCAACTCTTCACTCTATTCCATGAGAAGAAGTTACTGTTATGAATGATGAAATCAGCAAATGCACCTTGAATGAGCTACTAATTGGGCAAGATGTGGAGTAGCTGACTGATACTCTGTTCGTTTTATTCATTCCTTAATCTACCAGTTGAGTGCTACATAGAATTATTAATGTTCCTCATCAATGTATAGTCAAGTCTTAATTACCCACAGCGGGTTTCTCGCAACTGCAGATTGCTCCCTGCATGCATAGATAGCTCAGATGCTGCAGCTGCCTTTGCCTTGTGTGGACCCAGCTAATAAACTTGTGCACTTGCCCTGACTCTGCGTAACGTGAAGTCAGCACACGTACGCACCGTATCCCTTTGCATCGATAGCAGAAGCACATGAAGCTGGTCCGAGAGGCTTAGTGTCTCGTTTGGCTGGGGCCAGGCAGACTTCCCATGGAGTCTCTAGCATTCTAGACTCTAGGATTTGTGAGAGCTCGGGACTGTACTGTAGACATGTTGTTTCAACCAGTCTCATAAAAATTCACTGGAGACATATTTCAGTAGCTCTGCAGGAGCTAATGTAGCGCAGAATAGCTTGCACTGGGCTGAAACTGAAGCCCTCAACAGGTTCTGACCTGCCTTTCACAGAGCACGTGGGTTGCCTATGCTGTATCCCTTGCCTATCCCCGTTTCCTTCCTCAGCTCTCCCTCTGCCTTTCCCTTCTTTCACATTCTTCCTTCTTCTCCTTCCCTCCAGTACTCCAGCAGTACAATTTATTAACTGAGGTGATGCAGTGCACCAGCCTGCGCTCACTCTGCGTTTGTGTTGTGCTCCGATAGAGCTGATGAGCTTTCCTAAACCTGGACCACCAGGAAGTGTGTGTAGAGACATCTTACTGTCTCTAAAGTAGGAGCCAGGCTGGAGACAGCAGTTTTCTGAATAAGCTTGGAGCTACTAACAGCTTGACTCTTACCTTTCCCTCCTAAAACAGCAGAGTCAGTTATACGGGTATTTGGTATTTTGTCACGTACCTGTGGATTTCAAATACAAAGGGTTAGATGTGTCAGCTTTTCAGGTTAAATCTTTACCCTTTACCGTCTCAAACCTAAGAGCTCAACTCCTAGCAAGAGTGGGGCTGTGACCTGCTTCTGTTAGCACAGTTCACACCAAGAATCACTTATTTGGTAGATAATTGTATTTTTCAGGTGACTTTCAAACAGAACTGGGCAAAGATGGTGGTTGTTGTTTGGATTTTGCAAGGAACAATTTATGCCGGTGTTATTTCTAAAACCTTGAAGTGTCTTTGGGCTGTTCCTGTGTAAACACGCCAGAGTAGATGTCTTTGGGTCTGAGGAGGGCCAAAACTAAGGAATTGGGGCAGGCCTGCAACATCTCTGCATCGCAAGCAGTGAGAGAAGCAGCTTAGAATCCAGTATCCAGGTGCTTAGGATCCAAAATCTCAGCTAACTGGATATGGTTGGTTTCAAAACGGAAGCTTATTTTTGTTGCCTTTGCTTTTGTACTTCATCCCAGCCTGTGTTTGTGTTTCGAGCTGTTCGTACCCTACATCATCTCAGCCTGCCACTCTGTGCCACCTTAGCAATCATGACGCTTTGCTGTACTCCTGCATCCTGGATGTGTGCATCAGAACAGCAACAGTGCCGAAGAAAACAAATGCAAGTGCAGATCATAACCCAACTTTTATTACCAGCAGAATTCTGTACAATGGATGAAGCAAGGCACAACCCTACGTAACAGAGAGGGGGCAGCACTGTTTCAGCTTTCAAGGTTCTCTGAGAATACTCTATCACTCCATGACTTGAAAGTTCTCAATTACCCTTTAGAAACTCTGTGGTTTCTGCTCTTGGCTTCTTTTATAATTTTATGTTGTATATAGGTATTTAACTAATTTATTTCTTTTCAGTCACTCTTGCAACTGCAGGATCAGACAGCATCTGTTTTGTGTTCTCCTTCTGATGTACCCGCTGGAGGATTTAATAATCAAATCCCCATGGTGATGCGAGGGAATTGCACCTTCTATGAGAAAGTGAGGCTTGCTCAGATAAATGGAGCTCGTGGGCTGCTCATCGTTAGTAGAGAGAGACTGGTAAGTCTCGTTCTGTCTTTCTATATTGCTGATACTCCTCTGATGTTAGATATTGTCGTGTTTTCAGTGCTTATTGCTGGTATTTGATGCTCCTCTTCAAAATAAATAATGTATGTGTGTGTGCTTATGCATGTACATACATTGCATAGCTATGTGTGGAAATAATACAGCTGAAGGAAGGATTAATGAAACAAGAGGAGGTACTCTTTTAAGTAGGAAGAGTGCTGCATAAAGCCCATGTAACGTTCCAGTCAAGAGCTCAGAATTATCCTTATGAAATACTGCAGTCAAAGAAGGAGGTTGGTTTCTTGGCTCATACTACTACCTTCCGTGAGATCTAGAGCACGGTGAATCTAGTGCTATAGATTCAGCTGGAGCATCGCCAGTGCGTGTTTTGTAAAATTAGTAGTTTTGAATACTGCAGTCAATACTAGAGGCACACATCAGTCATAAAACCGTGACCCTGATGTGGAAAAGATACTGCTTGAAGTTTGGTTGATGCATTTTGCTGTTACAGTCTCTAATGACTTATGTTTCACTGGAAACAGGCATGCATTTTGACTTTGAGTTTTTGCTGTCATCATGTTCCTTTCTAGAATATTTTCCAAATTAACAGCAACAGAGCTTGCAATTTTAACCCTTTTGAAGTAGTAGAAGTATTTGCAGAAATGAATATATTCTTACCTGGTCTGAACTGTCTTTCAGGTTCCTCCTGGGGGCAACAGGAGTCAATATGAAGAAATTGATATTCCTGTGGCTCTGCTCAGCTATACCGATATGTTAGATATTGGCAAGGTAAACTCGATACTAAATGCTCTGATTCATATTATCTCATTTAAATGAGTGATTGCTCAACAGTATTTGAAGTCCATCTTAGGAGCTTTGAAACGGTTGTTGTACTCTTAGTAAGAGTGCGTTATTATGTTTTGAAAAAAAATCGCAAATCTCTTGGGAGGCTTTTTCTCATCTTCAGAATAAAATCAAAATGGAGCCGGGTGCTGGAAATAAATATCAGTAATAGTAGAGCCAATAGATTGTTCCTAAGTATTTATAATAAAGCTTGATTCTGAGGTTGCCTAGTGAAAACTAAGTAACTGAACCTTTGCTAAGGTAGCTTTTTGGAAGTTCTTCATAACTTGTACTTACCTCTGCAGAGTTTCGGCAGCTCGGTGAAAGGGGCGATGTATGCACCAAATGAGCCTGTGCTAGACTATAACATGGTGATTATATTTGTCATGGCTGTGGGGACTGTTGCAATTGGAGGCTACTGGGCAGGAAGCAGAGACGTGAAAAAGTGAGTACCTGGAATGTAGTATGTCAGTTTGTATTTTTCACAGAAAAAAAATACCTGGTATTTATTTAAAGATTACCTGGTAGCTCTGCTAATGAGGTTTGGAGACTGTCTGTATAACCAGGATGGGAAAATGCTGATGTGACATTTGACAGGCCCTGAGCCTTGTATTGGCTTTGTCACTGGATGAAATTATTAGAGTATAATTTGCATGTAGAGTATTTTAGTATTTTGCCTTGTCAAAAAGCCAAACATTTGAAAAGCTCAGGAGGAAAACTGGGTAGTAGTAGGCTTCCTACTTGGACTTTTGCAAAAATTCACCATAAAAATCTTTTGTAAAAAAAATAATTAAAATTGGTTTTACTAGTATAGTGCAAACCAAACTGATTAGATGGCTAACATATACCATGTTTATTGTGAATCTTTTATTGAAATTCTGTGGTTACTTTTTGCCAGTAAGTGGAGTTGGGGGAAGGAGGCCATCTGTGCCACACTTATTTCTAACATTTACTTTATATACACAACCTGACTTTAGGATTTCTTCTGAAGTCAGCAAATTATTCTGCGCTAATTTTCAGAATTCTGTTGAGTTGTTAGTGAATGAAAAATAGTACTCTTGATAAACTAACACAGCAATCGCTGTTTTATGCATATCTGATGTTCATACATCCATGTAAAATGAGGAGTTCCACTGACTTGAGTGGAAATCAACACAGGCGTTAGTGTCGTGTCATGTTTTCCAACCCCATGTCATTCTCGCTGAAGATTCGGTGCCCTTTTATATTTTGTTGCAGCAGGAAAGGACTGATTATAGCCCTGTTACTCTTTCAGGCGGTACATGAAGCACAAACGTGATGATGGGGCAGAGAAACATGATGATGAAACAGTTGATGTGACTCCAATAATGATCTGTGTGTTTGTAGTGATGTGCTGCTCAATGCTGGTCCTCCTTTATTTCTTCTATGACCACTTAGGTACTCTTAAAGTTGTCTTTGTATTGATATATCTTCGATATCACAAGGCTGCCATCATTTAAAGAACATTTTTACTGTGAAAATAATTATGAAATGGCTGTCTCCTGCCATGTTTCTTCATCCCAAAATGGTTTAAAATCCTGTAAGAAAACCCACTGAGTAGATTTCTAGATATACTTTTAGTGAGGTTGCATTAGGTGATCATAGAGCTTCTTTCAAATGTTAAAGCCTATTAAGTAGTCACGGACTTAACGTCTTCTACCTTTTATTTTTGTCAAAGGCGTTCTCAACCCTATACTTGTCTTTCTGTTGCTGTTCAATTTGAAGTTAGGTTATGGGATCCAGGATAAATTTTTTTTTTATCTTTATAAAGATAAGTTTTTCTACTGATCGCTTATCAAATTGATTGACAAAGAACATGAGAGCCTAATGCACTGGAACTTCCATCCTCATATTTCTGAGGAAGTTATGAAAGATGCATCCCATCTGCATTAATTCATTTTGCTGAGTGATTTTAATAGTTCCCTTATAATGCTCACATATGCTCATAATGAGAAGATAAACACTTCACCATAAATTGCCTTTTAGGCTTATGATTTAATGACTTACTTTAAGACTATTAGTACTGAGGTTTTGATTTATTGAAGTAGCTATTGCATAAAGTACACCTGAGTAAAATGAGCTAGAATTAGATACTTAAAGAGCATAAATCTAATGAACAATAATTTGAAGTCTCTGAATTTACCTTTCACTGGTGAAATGTAAGCCTTATTTGTCATTCGGGCTTTTTGATTGTCTGGTCTGTATTCGGCTGGGATATGAAAAAAAGCATCTCTTACCTTATCCTGCTTGGGCTTACTACTTTTTCTTTCTCAGTCTATGTTATCATAGGAATATTCTGCCTGGCTGCCTCAATTGGTCTTTACAGTTGTCTGTCTCCCTTTGTAAGAAGATTCCCCTTGGGAAAGTGTAGGTATGTGGCAACTTCTAAATTTTTAATAGGCAAAATTAATTTTTTATAATGTTGGGTAGGTGTGGGATTTACAAGGTGGTTTCATACTTCAAAATGTTTATAAAGGAGGAGGGTAACTACATAGACAACTGTAGCTTTGGTGTGTTTCATTTTCAGAATCCCAGACAACAACTTGCCTTATTTTCACAAGCGTCCACAGGTCCGGATGTTGCTATTGGCGGTATTTTGTATCTCTGTCAGTGTAGTCTGGGGAATCTTCAGAAACGAAGATCAGTAAGTGTGTATTTTAGTTTCTCTGCTAGAAATTGTAATATGCTTTATAACTGTAAGTAACTGACATTCGTAGAAACCTAAACTTATCCAGAATTTAGGATTGACAGGAAAGAAACTAGAGACTTGGGCAGAAATTCTTAGTTGTTCCTTGTGTACTTCATCTTTGTCTTGTTGGTTTAAGTTACAGACAACTGTCTGTTTTTAGGCTTGAGTTTCTCTGAGTCCCAGTCCATATTCTGATCTCTTTGGCTTAAGACAGCTTTTCAGAAGTGGTACGGAAAGTTGGACACAAGTTGTCTAACTTATTTCTTCAGGTGATGGTCTGCATGTGCATTTGCTCAGAGGGAATAAGAGCTGTGAAGATTGTCAGATCTTTAGTTTCTCTCAACTGTCTGGTATGAGCAAATAATTCTCTGTGTCCAGTATTGCTGTGGTACCTGATTATAGCATGTTCTTCTTACCACTTTTGTTAGAGATTTTTTTTTTTTAACCCCTTACCTCACTCCCAGATGCTCCAATTTCCCCATATATACATGATGTGTTCATCTTCTTGGTCCCTCTATCACGGATTCTGTATTGGATCTGAAATGCTGGCTTGTGTTTCTGCTGATGGTACCAAAGATGTCTTGCTTGTGCCTTGAATGCCTGTTATTGCCTTTGTGGGCTCCATTTTCTGTGTTAAGGCTGTGGATCATTCACTGACAGAACTCATAAATCCAGGAAGCATCAACAGTGAAACACCTTTTAGAGAAATAAGTATCAGGCTGAGGAGTACAGAAGTAGTATAGAGCTATTCCAAACTGGGATATTTAAATCTAGGAAATCCATTTTCTGCCTCAAAGCTGGAGCGGACCTGAGTGTCCCCCTGCACAAAGCTCCATCAGCAAGTGCTCAGGTATTGATCTCAACAGCATAATCTCTCATCTGCAATTTTAGGGAAACCTTAGTGTTTTGTATCTCAAATCCTACTTCTGTTTGATCCTAGCAATCACAAGTAAAGCAAAGAGCCTTTGCTTTACCTAACTTGTAAAACCCAATTGCCAAACAGCCCCAGCTATAGGCTTCCCTCAGCACACAAGGGTGTACACACATACGCAGGCCAGAGGAGCCCAGCACTTCCCGGTTTGGTGCCCACTGACCTCGTTCAGCCAGTTTTCAATCCACCTCACTGGCTGCTCGGGCAGCCTATACTTCCCCAGTTTCTCTATGAGGATCTTGTGGGAGATTTGCAGTGGAAAGCCCTACTGAAGTCTAGGTAGACCATACCCCCCACTGCTCTTCCCTCATCTACCACGCCAGTCATTTCATTGTAGAAGGTTATCAGGTTGATCAAGCACAACTTCCCATTTGCGAATCCACGCTGACAACAATGTTGATTTCAAGCAAATACTTCTAATAAAGTTTTTTGTCCCAAGCAGGTCCCTGTGAGGGCAAGGCTTGGTCTGGCTTTCCTACTTTTTCCTGCAAAAACGTTACTCTCCTCTTTCTTTAGGTGGGCCTGGGTTCTGCAAGATGCTTTAGGAATCGCTTTCTGTCTTTACATGTTGAAAACAATTCGCCTGCCTACATTTAAGGTATGAACCTTAAACAGATGCGAAAAGAGGATGTTTGCCTGTATGTGATTGAACAGAGGAGCCACTTATAATGGAGTACATTGGCTTGGAAATGCACTTCCATTTTTATGTAGCTTGGAAAAGAGTGATCTAATGAGTATAATATAGACCAGTAAGTGGCACGTGATTGTTATGCATGGTGTTTGGTAACTTAAAGCTCTGTAGAGTGTTGACTGCTAGTAAATCACAAGCCACACGCTCACTTGTGGGTTTTGGTTTTTGTTTGTTTGGGGTTGGTTTTTGGGGTTTTTTTTTCCAAATTTGACACACAATTGATGCATCATTGTGGTGTTTTTTCAAATTTTCCAGAACTTATTCAGTATCCTAAGATAAAAATCAGTATTAGTCATTTAGTTGCTCCTTAGGCAGCTCTTCAAACTCTGTTTCAAGTTATCTTCACCTATAAATTTGTTTCCCTGTACAGACTGGCCAAAGTAATGTGGATACTGTTTCTGGCTATGCCTGACATCCTCCAGAGAAAATACAGACCCTCTTAATATTTCCTAACAAACTGAAACGGCACCATCTCCAGATTTTACAAGATAAAGAATTTTAGGGACTAACATGTAGATAAGAATTATACACAAATTCTTTTATATGGTGCATGTGAGACCCAGTTCCTCCATCGAAAATATTTAGGAATTAAGGAAAATACATGGGTCACTTGTGTTAGTCCTTGTTAGCTTTTGCCTTGAATAGTCTTAAGTTGCTAATTATGAATTCTTTGCTGTTTACTAATGCATAGTATGTAAATACCAAGTATCTTGTCTCTTCCTTCAGGGTTGTACCTTGCTCCTCCTGGTTCTTTTTGTGTATGATGTATTCTTTGTATTTATCACACCTTTTCTAACAAAGGTAAGTAAAGTACTTATCTAGTGCCTGCTGCTCACAGAGCAAAGTGTGATGACCTGTTTATCTCTGTTCCTAAATGATCCCAGACCTGCTGAGTGAAGTGATTTACAATTTTCTCCTTTTTTCTTTAGACTGGGGAGAGTATAATGGTGGAGGTGGCTGCAGGCCCGTCTGATTCTGCCACTCATGAAAAGGTACTGTATATGGTCTGAAAATACGGCACTAACTTCCAGCTACTACACTTCAACTGCTCTGAAATTCAAAGACCACAAAGCTGAAATGGAGATGCCAGTCTGAAAAGAATTAAATGTGGAAATAAGCACTCCTGAGCTCTCTGGAAATCTACACTAAATACAGGGAGCAAAGCAGACTTTTAGTGGTTCATCACAACAGCTTTGGTCTTCCTTTATCTTGCTTTAAAAGGGTTTCAGTATAAGGAAGCTGGTTAGCTCAGCTTCACAAAAACCTGTGACCACATCTGTAAGTATAACTTACTGCTAATGAAGCATATCCATTTTTACCTAAAGAGATAAAACTTACATGATCAGTCTGTCTCTTCCCCCTCCTCCCCTGTTCTGAGATTTGCTTTATGAAAAGCTGAGGCTATAGGCAAAGGAGAGAACTACGAATTGGAGACAGAAAGAAAACAGAGGTCAGTGTTCAGTGGTTCTGGACCGTTTGACAGCAGCCAGCTGCATGCACAGAGCTGTACAACATGATGTGGCTGACTTGGGGCAGAAAGTACGTCAGATGTAGGAGACTGTGAGATATGGTGTGCAAAATAAATAAGAAATGAATCTACAGGAAAACTGGTTTTGTTAATTTAAGGATGTTGGGTCTCTTCAGCAATGGATGTAATACTGTCGCATGGGAAAATATAGTAAAGAAAATAGTTGTTTGCAGGATGAACTACGAGTGGGTCAATCCATACAATCCATACTGATTTCTTTAACGTCTTACGTTCTTGTCTTTTGTAGTCCTTTAGTACCCCTTTAGTTTCAGTTTTATGCACAGAATGAATTGTATAAAACAATAACGATAGTATAAGTAGATAAAATTATTCTGGCACTAACATAAGAAAAGGAAAAAAAAGAAAATAAAGTTTTTACAGTATTAAAGAGAATAAGTGTTTGCAATGGACTTTGCCGTACTGTGTCTCAACATTGCAAGTTATGTAATAAATAGGAACACTTGGGGGAAAAAAAAGGTCTTTAAAGTGATTTGAAAAGTCACTTTTAAAAATTATTCAAGTCTTTACTCTTTTGAGACTTTTATTGCAACCAGTAGAATGAAATATAAATTGTCATTTCTTATGCATGTGGCAGCTTACCTCAATTTTTTACATTCCTGCAGTTAAAGCAGAGTTGATACCCTATTGCATGTGAGGACTTTGACATTAATACAGTGTTTTGAGATGTCTGTCATGTGGAGTTGTCTTGGCTGTTTGTCTTGAGAAAGTATTTCATCACTCCTATCTTAAATACATTTTGTTAGTTGTCAGCAATATTAATAAAAGATTTCAAATATAAGGATCTATAATGTAAAAAAAAGATACATGTGCTCTGTTTGAAGTCTTCAGTTGCAGTACAACAGGCACACGTTCTGGTAGATGGTGTCAGTATGTAGAGAAAACAGCTTTGCATAAGGCATACGTGTCTCATTCGCAGCTCCCAATGGTCCTGAAGGTTCCACGGCTGAACTCCTCGCCGTTGGCTCTGTGTGACCGGCCTTTTTCTCTCCTAGGATTTGGAGACATTTTAGTTCCAGGTATTTCTTGTTTGGCATGTTAAGACTTTTACTTGTCGCGCTGTCATGTTAGTTTATTCCTCTTGTGCTTCTGCTTCAAGTGGGAAGTTTGATTTGACTTCTGTAAACCTGATAAATCTGTAAGTATATCTTTTATGTTCTTTTTTTCTGCACTATTCACTTTTTCCATAAGAAATTAAATGCACATTAATCTTATGGTTCAGTTTCACATGCAGTGATGTCAAGAAATGTAGAGGAATCTCAAGAGCTGATTTAGCAACTAATTATATAGTATAAAACATCATTAATAGTGATAGAGGAAATTATGTGTCCATTTGCACATGATTTGAGTACACGCATACCTGAGCACTCAAAACTTCATAATTCGTTAGTCACACAGCATCCAGTGTTTCTACCACACCTTCTCTCAAATTTGATGTTAGATATTATATAGAAGTATGTCTGGCAGCACTGCAGGTGAAAACAATATTACTTTGTTTATATTTACTATGAAAACAATATGTATCTTCTGGCTTTCAGATTTCTTCTGAGAAATCATTTGTTTTCTTGTATTTTGGGAAATATGAACTGTCATCCCTCTCTGTGTCCCCTCCCTGTCCCCTCCCTGTCCCCTGACCTATAATAGGTATAGTCATTAACCATAAACTCTTTATTAGGAGCTGGAAGGGATGAACTCACCCATATTCTTGTTGTGAACACTGTATTTTTACAACTGTTTATTAGGGATGGGATGACGTTTTGTATCTAGGACCTGAGTATTTGTAGATGGTAATTTTATTATAAGAGTGTTTCTGGTGTACTGGGCTTGTGTTACCATATAACTGTTTTGTGCGCTGTGCGGCTTCCTGAATGATGCTGTCATAGTACAGAAGCACTGGGGGTGCCCACGTAAGTGTTGGGGGGAAAAAAAAAGAAATCTTTAGTTTCCTAGATAATTTGATGGTTTTGTGTATCTTAATGCATGAATAGGTTGAAAGCATGTTGTAATTGCTCTTTCCTTTCCTAGGCTTACTGGTGGCCTATTGCCATAGATTTGATATTCAGGTGCAGTCGTCCAGAGTTTATTTTGTGGCCTGCACAATAGGTATGTGTAACAGCGACGCTTGAACACAGTACCTACAGCAGTTGCTCCCTTTAAAAGCATACCATCAATCTCATGTTACCTAGTTTGTTTTTTTTTTATTCTTCTCTTCCTTTTATTATTAAACAGAAATATTTTAGCAAAGTACTTCTGAGGCTAGACCTTCCATCACCAAGTTATCTGATGTCATTTTCCTGAGCTGTTTTTTCTGCCGTATAAAAGGGGAGTTTCTTGTTATCATGGTTTGTCTCACTATAACCATTACATCTTTATACATCTTTAGACATGCTTAGCTACTCATTCTGTTTTTTTGATTCATGAATCTTTGAGTTTATTGCATATGAAAATTCAGGTTCAGGGATATCTTCCTTTGACTTTGTTCTTAACTTTTTGTGTATTCTAAAAATCTGTGACCTATGATGCGACGAGTTACCTTATGATGGCTGTAACACCTGCAAATTAGTTTTCGTCTTTAGTCTGTAGAATCCAGAGTTACGTGCCATGGACTTAAAGACGACTGATGAATAGGATCTTACAGATTTCTGTTGGCTTTGTTACAAACTATTTATGCTAGCAAAGACTTAAGATGCTTGCAATTAATGTTGTGAAAAATGAAGAACTGCTTTAGAAATTCTTTTGAAAAAATAGCTAGGTTCTTGGACACTTATAGCAGGGTTAGAGAGATGCTTTTATTTCAATGTACCGAATCTTAAATAATTTCCTCTCATATATACTTAAACGAAACTGTTGTCTTACCTTTGTTGTCTTACTTTCAAAACACATTTACAGAAATCGATAGGAAAACGTTCTATCAATGAAGAGTCAGCAGCGTACTATTGCAGCAATGAAAACTAGCCACGTACAGGGCTGTGTTAGCAAGATGGAGTCAGCAGTATGAGAGAAGTGATTGTTCCCCTCCATTTGGCAGTTAAGACGACTGAGTCTGGAATGCTGTGTCTAGCCTGGGGATCCCTGGTGCAAGACAGACATTGACATACTGGAGTAAAGCCAGTGGAGGCCATCAAGATGGCTGAGGGCTGGAGCACATGATTTTAGAAGAAGAGAAGGCAAAGAGGAGATTCTGCTGCTCTGCGCAGCTGCCTAATGTGAGGATGCAGAGAAGACAGACAAGCTTTTCTTACAGGTGTGCAGGGATGTGAGGCAATAGACTTAAGCCCCAAGAAGAAACATTTCAACTAGATATGAGGAACTCTCACTAAGAACATAATGTGCCATGAAAAAAAAAAATTTAAGAACTGTAAAAATTTATTGAGTATTGATTAGAATCATTTAGGTTGGAAAAGACCCTTAAGATCGTCAAGTCCAACCATAAACCTAACACTGCCAAGTCCACCACTAAACTACGCCCCTAAGTACCACATCTACCTGTCTTTTAAATTCCTCCAAGGATGGGTTTCAACCACTTCCCTGGGCAGCCTGTTCAGCCTGACAGCCCTTTCAGAGAATACATTTTTCCTAGTATCCAACCTAAACCTCCCCTGGCACAACTTGAGGCCATTTTCTTTCATCCTATTGCTTGTTACTTGGGAAAAGAGATCAACACCTATCTCACTACAGCCTCCTTTCAGGTTGTTGTAGAGAGCGATAAGGTCTCCCCTCAGCCTCCTCTTCTCCCGGCTAAATAACCCCAGCTCCCTCAGCCGCTCCTCCCCAGCCTCGTGCTCCAGACCCTTCCCCAGCCTCGCTGCTCTTCTTGGGACACGCTCCAGCACCTCAATATCTTTCTTCATCTGGTTCCTGAATGAAAATCAGTTGGATTTACCTTCATCATTCTGAAAACATAATTGAAAATAATTATGTGAGATCCTAGCTGCTTCTGTTCTGCTTAAGAATTTTTGCAGAATATATGCAGAAATTAAATAGAAAGTAATAACAAATTATAACATACAGCTGGCTTGTTTTGGTTTGGTTTTTTGTTTTTTTTTTTTTAATGGTGTTGCAGGATAGTAAGAAACAGCCAAAGCCAAGCCAAAGAAGCAGCACATGTTATAATGGTCAAAATAATTGTCTGTATCTCTTGAATTCATAAATACAATATGAGGCACAATATTTCATTTGTTTGTTTTGCCTTTCTCAGACTGCCTAAGGTAATGATTTATTTCCACAGTATGGACCAGGCCGATCCACTACTTTCACAGCATGTTATTATCAATAGAAAGACTGTAGTATCTCCGTTAAGTAAAGCGCTATTCCAGGTTTACATTGTGCATATAATGCTTGTGTGTGAAGAGCCCTGAAAAAATTCTGGAGATGTTGTTTACGTATTACTCGAAAATAGTTCCTGTTAGAATGCTCATCTAGCTAATTACTTAGTTGTTCTTGAGCAGAGCTGTATCTGAATAATTGGGGTTTGTTGGTTTTGTTTCCTTCCAGCATATGGCATAGGCCTTCTTGTGACCTTTGTTGCCTTGGCACTGATGCAGATGGGTCAGCCCGCTCTCCTCTACCTGGTGCCCTGTACTCTCCTCACAAGCTTTGCTGTGGCTCTTTGGAGAAAGGAGCTCGCAATGTTCTGGACGGGCAGCGGCTTTGCGGTGAATACCAGTTTGATATGAGTGTCTTCAAGAAATACTAATATTATAAAAACCTAACTAGAATTAAAGTTGAGTAAAATATTGCAGTATTATCAAACAAAACCAAAGATTTTTGTTTTGCTTGATTGTTTGTTTTTTTACATTCTTGTTTTGCCTCAGTAAGGTTTTCTTTTTTTAATGTTTATGGCCACTTAAACTGGCTAGTGAAAAATAAAGTAGACCTTGTCTATCCTTCTTGATTCTGCCATAATTTTACTGGTTTGATCTCTGAAAGTATAGCAGTAGTAGTAGTAAAATATTAAAATATTTTATATAATATTATAAAACGTTATATTTTATATAATATATCCTTAAAATATTTTTCTTCATATATTTTCATAGCCTACTGCTTATAAAGGTAGAAATCTAGTTCACTACAGTAAATTATCACTTTGTTTCATTGTGGTACAAGTGAAATTAATTTGATTCCAAAAGGAATAATTTCTATTGTGATGCATGATTATAGATTTTGAATAATTACTTGAAGGGCAAATCTGTCAAGCTAGAGGTTCTCCCCGGCAAGTTTTATTTTGTTATTCAACTATTTGTGATAACCTTCACAACTTTCCTGTAGAGAACTGAATTTAATTGTTGGAAAAATATTTGAGATCATCTGAAATGTGATGGAAAAGTTGCTAGCTGTTGTACACTGATAGCAAAGGTGGGCAAAACCAGAGAACGACAAAGTGCGAAAGTGCTATTTGCCTGTTCCTGCGTAATCAGCAGAGCACATCTGAAGTCAGCAAGGAACGATCAGGCAGAAAGCAGTTAAACACATTTCTGGAAGAAAAATCCCCTTGTGTACTATAAAACGCAAAGACAGGGTAACTGTGTATGCATGTGTCCACTACTGGAGAATGATAATGGAGATGATGGACCTTTAATCTTCATCTTGTATGACCATCACTCCTGATAACTGGACGCAGTAAGTCCTGCTTTCCGTCATTCTGACTGTGATCTTCCATTTGCAGAAAGACCTACCTCAGCCTCCCTTGGTGATAGCTCCTGTCAACTGCCCTGAGCTTTCCAAAGATAGCAGTGTACCAGCCTCTCACCAAGCCACAGAGCAAACGACCAGTCCTACCCTCCACATGAAGGAGCTGCATGGCCCCACCTCAGCTGCAGAGGAGCTGGCTGATACGGACACAAAGACGGACCAGTCAGAAATTTCTATTGCACAGAGCGAGGAACCAGCTGGTCAGAATAAGGACGACCTTGAAAGCAAATGCTTAAATGCAGAGCAAAAACAGCTGGAATAAACGATGTGATAAGAACTCCTTATTTTCCCTCACAAACATATCCATATAAAACCAGTATGTATTTAGGACTGGTTTAGTAGTGTTTGCGTTCATTGAGGAACCTCACTTGGGAGTCTGATCATCAAATCCAACAACGAATGTTCTGCCTCCGGCTTCGGTACAGCTATACACTTCAAACATCTTTCTGAAATATGGTGCTCTACAAGGGTTCTGATGTATGGATTTCAATGATCATTTTATTAGTGAATGCCTTTGACCGTTCCATTTTCATTATACCAGGGTAGTATTAAGAGTCTTTATTTACACTTTATTACCCTGTGCTTGTGTGGCTATTTTGCTGCTTTAGCATAGCGTAGGTTAACATGGAGGAAAAGCATTGAACAAGTCTGCTACAATGCTTAGTTGAGAGAAACATGATAGTTTTTTTAGCACTTTCCCTGTTGTCACCTTTTACTTTACTTTTCCCTACTTGTCAAAGCCATTGATACAAGAGAATGCTTTAGTATAAACTGACATTCAGGAAACGCAGAGAGTGGTTAAATTACCAGCATCTGAAAGGATTTATACTACCGTGGTGCATTAAATGCATCTCTTAACTGTTTCTGTTTTTGTTTTTACTTCCAGGTACCTGGGTTGGCTACTAGTCTAGTTTAAAAGGCAGGATGAATGGAGCTACAGGAAGCTTTCTAAGCACTCGTATGAACTCTAGGGACTGTCTCTGAAACTAAACAGTGTTTGTCACAGAATGCTGTCTGGAAACAAAAGCATATTAAGAATGTTTAATGTTTTAGCATAAAATACAAGCCAAATAGGTAAGAAAATAGGTAGTAGCACTATACTAAGCTTAATAGGCAGTATTTTCATTGGGAAAATGTTAAAGTAAAGCAGTAGAAGTTCATACATTTGGGGGGTTGAGCTTCTACTTGTTGCTTGTTTAAGGAATATAATTGCAATTTCTAATTCTGAAGAAAATAATCTGGTGTTTTCATTCCCAAGGGAGCACATATGGTGCTATAATCAGGTGCGATTTAAAGCTACTTGCTGCTCAGTAACTAATCAACTGCCTCAGTCACGTTTTGTCTTTGTCCCAAGAGTAGCCATAGCATGGCCTGCCAGGTTCTGGAATGAGGCTGTGATCTAGCCTGTTATTTTGAACCTCTCGCTACATGACGTTGTGAAGGACTAAATGTGTGATTTTAAAACTTTTTGGGGTGCAGCTGGTCTTACTGTATGTCCCTGGAATTGTGTGTTTTCCTGTATAACGTGAGTGAGTCTTTTATGCATCAACTTGAGTACACATAGAGGGATGATGTGATGTGTCTATTATTTATTCCATCTAAGAACATTTGGCTTTATCAATGGTGTCTGTTCTACACTTAAATTGCAATCCCAGGAAGCCTCCAAGACTTCACATTAAAACTGAAATAGAAAATGGAAGTATTCTAGGATCCTAGAATATGATTCCAAACTGCATGGAACAAATACTCTGCAGAGTATCTGAGAGCCCCAGCTGTCAGGTACAAAAGTATCACAGTGACACGATCAGAGGCAATGCCTTTAAATTAAGAGTCTCCAGTTGGCGTGTTGAGTTGGGTTCTGAAGGGCTCTCGTTTAATGTTTGTTAAATTTCAGCCGTTGTCTTTCTGGCTAGGTCTTCCAAGTTTGCCCCGTGCTTTTTGGATGATAATTTCTGTTCGTGTCTGTTTCACATTGGGTGGATAGGATTCTTTGTCTAGAATGTGAAAGGCTTTCTGTAAAACCACACAAAGCTTCAGAGTTTCACCAGCTTCTGCTTAAAGCCTCAAGCCCTGTCTGATAAGTTGATTTAATGGTGAGTTTCTTGAAAGGCTTCCTGAGTCCAAAGGCCTCTGCTACATTTAATTTACAAATCACCCTAATGGAAGATAGTAGAACTAGAGAGATCTGTTTTTCAATCTCCTCTTTAATGGACTACGTTACTTTTGCCAGCAGTAATCTGAACCAATTATTACTCATAAAAAGCAACAGAGACATTTTACTGAAAACTTCAGCCAGCTGGATTATGCCTTAATTTAAGCCATTGTATACGTACGTATATTAAATTAAGAAAAACAATCTTGTGTTTAAATAACGAACTTGACAAATAGCAAGGAAACAAGTTTGGAGACTGACTCAAAGTTCTATGGTTTTTTGCCTTGATTGTCTTTCAGTCATAATGTTATTTGGAATAGCTTTTTATATACTTAAAAGCCAGTAGCTTTCTGATGATGAAGCATTAAGTTTTATCACCTACTTGAAAGTGTATTTTAACATTTGTTCTCTTATGTTGTGGGTTAGGAAACAGTTTCTTTCTCAAATTGTTTATAACTCAATTAAAATGGAAGAATTCATAACACTGAACTTGTAGGCATTTAGCAGTTGCTTTGTTCACATGGCATTCTAGCCAGGTCTGCCTGGAGCACCTGCTTCGCCTTCTCTTTCTGGGGGTTTCCATCTGGTTTTAGGGGGGAGGGTTGTTTGTTGGGGTTTTTGTTTGTTTTTCAAACTACAAAGATCAATGCGGAAAAACCCCAATAGCAACTCAATGCAATATCTCCAGCTCAAGTATGTAAACTGGCAATGAGTTACATACCTTGACTAGTCCAGTACTGTACAAATCGGGTGACCCTGGTGCACCAGTTTGGCTGCGACTGTTCGGACCCTGATCCCGGGCAGTTCAATCACTTCCATCGCAAACCAAGGCTGTGCTTTTTTGTCTTTCAAAAACCTCCCTGACTAGCTTAACGTAGAACTTAATGTTGTACAGGAAAATGTGAAGATATGTTCAGTGTAGCTGACTGATTTTATGTGATGATTGCAGATACGCATCCCACACCAAACTTGAGTTAAAATGCTCAAAGTAAGGAAAGTAATGTTAATGTTAAAAGTAATGTTGATGCGCTTCTTGTTTACGTCTTTCACATACTAAGCCTTTAGCTAACGATCTGAAAATTCAGGAATAAGGATTCTATTTCTGAAAACTTGTATGTGTTCAGGGGAAGTACTTGGTTTAGTAAAAAAACAAAAAACAAAAAAACCCAACAAAAAAAACCCAAACAAACCAATCTAAAACAACACCAACCAACCCCACTGTAAGACCCATTAAAAATAATAATTAAAAAAAAACCCAACCTCTTTGGATCACAGGAGAGAGGATCAGATTCTCTCCTGGGTCTGAAATTACTAAATATCAGTGTGTTGGACCAAGTGTTTGGTTTTGACTGTGCCCTCCTGAAGGGCTGCGCAAATGCAGCTGACGGTAGAATGCAACCTGAAAGCCTTTACGAAGGGTGACAACTAAGGGAGACTAAGTATCCCAAACCCACTTTTAATTTGGGGGATTTCTTTTTCTTGTCACAAATGAAGAGCATTTAAAATGAAATATATGAAAAAGAAACAGAAAAAATATTCAAAAATACATTCTGTTTTTACCAGCGGCAGTAAAAACCAGCACATCCACATATGTAAGAATTAATGAAAATATTTAATGTTTTCTCTAAACTCGGACAAATGCCAGAAGACAGAAAATCTGCAGCACAGCATATTTTCCGATAGGTTTATTACCATGTCTAATAGAAGGCTTCATTTAGAAAACTGTTGGTTTCATTTTTTTCCCTTCTTTTATATTAACCGTACCAAATTTCTTGAACTTTTTATGTGATGTCTTGATCTCAGATAATCAAACTTTTCCTTCAGAAGCTGCTCTTTTCTTACGGTAGCCCTCAGTATGTCTTTTGTTAAGAATGCCTTGCAAGTCTTGATAGCGTTTTTCAGACGTCTGTGTTTCAGATTTGGGGTTTGCATCCACGATTCATTGCTCAGACCGAGAACATCTCGTGACTGTAATCCTCCTGCCTGTAGATTTCTCACTATGCTGGGAAGTAGCACTGCCTGTGGAGCCAGAAAGAAACTAGCTCGTAAACAGTACTGAAAGAACATGATTTTGAGCTGTAAGAATGTGGCTACATTCATTAATGAATTAATACGCCGTTTGGGAGATGCTGTGTATTTACCTGCAGCTCTTACTTTGTTCTCTGGTATCTGATGGGCAACAGAGTGCTTAGAGAATTTAAAGGTAGCTTTCTACTTGACCCCAAACCATGTTCTCCTGTAAAGTTCTTGCTTTGAAAGCTCTTTCAAAACACAATACTTGGGTCCACGTATATGCTCAGTGTCTCCTGGATATCTCGCCCTACCGTTTGTAGAACTTTTCCTGGCTAGACAATTAAAAAAAAAAAAAGGCCCCAGCCGATATTGGGTGTTGCCTTGAAGTAAATGCTTACGTACGGCTATTTTAGTGCAAGATCCTGCAGTGTTGTTCTTGTCTGTCTTCTCTTTAGCCCCGGAGTCGGGTAGTGCGTATATTGCTGGTTTCTTGCACTACACTGGCTGTTCCAGGATGTAAAGCCCTGTGATATTTCTTTTTAATGGCAGCTTTGTTGATTATCAATTAACAAAACAGAGTATTTTGTATATGCTTTCATCGTTTGGCGTGTTATTTGTAGTACATTCATGGGTAAATAAGCTGGCTAAGCAGTAACGTGCAACCAGTGCGTACTGACACTTGACACGCATCCCATTGACCCAAGTAAGTGTTTGAAATGTGGACATACCAGCAGATCCAAATATTTGTCCAAAGCCCGCAGAGGTGGTGCCTTTTTCCATGACAAATACGATCTCTGATGTTTTAAAATAAAATCTCTGGAAGGGCTGTGTGCTCAGGAAAACGAGGACATTATTATTAGAGAGTCCAGAAGAGAACAGGAATTGTGATCAGAGGTTCAGAAACCATCAGCATCAAGGAAAGATGAATTTTTAGGTATTTTATCTCGAGTGTGGTTTCCCAGCTGGCAGCAGGACGTGAAGCACAGTCGCACTAACGAGCTCTTCAGCTTTTCCATTTAGGCTCTATGCCGATGGTGCCGGGTAGGATGGAGAGGGAAGGGATAAGACAAAAGCGAAGGTGGTTCAGAAAGCATGAGGAGACACTGGAAAAGAATGGCAGTGGAAGAGTTTACTCCAGAGAGGTCCAAAACTACTACTCCAAAGAGAAGACCTAAGGGCATGTATCCAAAAATCTGAAATGCTACTGCAAATTGGAAAAACAAATGATTTTTTGTTTTTCAAGGAGGGATGGCATTAGAATTAATAGACTTAAATTACAGTAAGGGAATCGTGGGGCTGGTGGCAGAAAAATCTCTAAAAACGGCTAACAACTTGAGTGGTTAGCCATGGGAAGCCTGTGAGAGCTCTGTGGGGTAGGGCTGTTTCCAATGCAGGCCATTGCTGAGCTCATCTGGTTCTGAGAGCAAAGAGTGTAACCACATAGACAAGAGCCACGTCGTGCCACTTGCGTCGGGGGCCAGCGAACAAGCCCTGGCCCGCTTCAGTCCAGGTGCAGTCTGAGGGCTGGGCTTTCTGTAATTCAGCGCCAACTTCATCGCGTAGCCGTCAGTTTGCGTGCTTTGCAAGCATTGTGACTGACAATTCAGATCTTGTATTACAAAGACTTTTGGTTTTGTTTTGCTAATTTAAAGATGATAAATCCTCTGGAAAGAAACCACATCAAAGCACCTGT